ATTTTAAAACTCATTTTTCCCTTTCTAAATGAGGATTTTTTTTCTGAGGCATAATGTGCCTTTAACTTTTAGGCATAATATACATGTATACTAATTTTGATTACGGTATACTTCCTCTCAAATAAAACAGGAACCAGTTTATACACTATATCTTGTAAGGTTTTATCGGCTTATTATACTTACTCTCAAACTAGAACTCCGCGAGTCGGATGTGTCGCCTTGTGAACAATGTAGTTTAGGGGAAATGGCCAGGACAAAAATGAAATATGAAAAATAACAAAGGGCAATAACTAAAAAAATAATAAGTGCAGAGCAGCAGTTTCTGTACACTGCACTTCTTATTAATAAGATCTATCATTCTATGATGTTTCAAGTCCATAGCTTTCATACTTGAGGAAAAATGACCAGGACAAAAATAAAGTAAGAAAAGCAACAAAGGGCAATAACTCAAAAATAAGAAATGCTGAGTATCAGTTCTTATGCACTGCACTTCTTTTTAATGAAATCTATCATCCTATGAAGTTTCAAGTCCATAATTTTTATACTTTCAGAGAAATGGCCTGGACAAAAATTAAGTATGAAAATAAACAAAGGGCAATAACTCAAAAAATAAGAAATGCAGAGTACCAGTTCTTGTGCACTGCACTTCTTCTTAATGAGACCTATCATCCTATGAAGTTTCAAGTCCATGGCTTTTATACATTAGGAGAAATGGCCCGGACAAAAATAAAGTATGAAAATTAACAAAGGGCAATAACTCAAAAATTAGGAAGTGCAGAGTACTGGTTCTTGTGCACTGCATTTCTTCTTAATGAGATCTATCATCCTATGATGTTTCAAGTCCATAGCTTTTTTTGTTGAAGAGAAATGGCCCGGACAAAATTAAAGTATGAAAATTAACAAAGGGCAATAACTCAAAAAATAAGAACTGCAGAGTACCGGTCCTTTAGCACTGCACTTCGGGTTATTGAAAGAAGCATGCATACCAAGTTTGAAGTCAATCAGACTTATAGTGACTGAGTTATGCTTCGGACAAGCTTTAGCGGACGCCGACGCCGACAACGACGCCGACACAGATGCCGCCGCCGCCGACACCGCCGACAAAAGTAACCCCTATATGTCACCTTTTCAAGGCGACACAATAAACCGGGAACCAATTTATACACTATATCCTGTAAGGTTCTGTCAGCACATTATACTTCCTCTCAAATAAACAATGAACCAGTTTATATATTATATCCTGTGAGGCTCTATCCGCACATTATACTATATCTTGTAAGGTTCTATCGGCACATTATACTTACTCTCAATTAAACCGGGAACCAGTTTATATACTATATCTTGTAAGGTTCTATCTGCACATTATACTTACTCTCAAATAAACCAGGAACCAGTTTATACACTATATCTTGTAAGGTTCTATCCGCACGTAGATTGAGCAGGGGTTGTGTTTCATGTACTTTGATATTACATGTTGGACAGTGTTTACTCACTTGTAAATGCTTCACAATACACTTTTTACAAACTGTAAAATAAAATATATAAATTTATCAAAGTTTATTACAGGAAAAGGCAAAGAGTATTAAATATAAACGTCCATGGACAGTGCAGGAAAGTTACTGCCTTAAACAGGGCTTCCGTTAATGGAAGTTTGGGAGTCATTTAATTTGACTTCCAAAATCTAATACTTTTCCTTCTTTACCTATCTAATGTGATTTCCAATGTCAGAGATTTTGCAGTCTCTGACTTCCAAATTTTTGAAACTTATTGGAAGCCCTTTCTTAAACCTTTAATATCTATATGGAATTGTCAATCTTTCAATCTGAGCACCATTTGTACGTAAATTTTCAAAATATGTACTGACGGAATAGCCAACAATACAGACCATGATCACATGTGACAGATAGTCACCATGGTATAATCTGTTGTAGTCAGCAGGCTACTAAATCTAGCAATATCAATTTATCACTTCGAAAGCAAGATAATTGTAATTATGTATGGTTATATAGAAGCATACAACCAAGGTGAAAAAATTTCACAACATCACTTCAACTAATGTAACATATTATTTTTCTGTGAGAAAATTGCACTATAAAATAGTAACAGAAACTAATATATAAAATTTATATTACATAAATTATTTAAACACAGAATAAAAACTAATTATCAGAACATTTATAATCACATGCGCCATCAACTTCTGTATTCTGCAATTATTCACACAATGTTATAGTAAAACTGTAAGTGTTCATGCAATGAATTCTACTTACATGTATGAAGGCATTCCACGATGCTTGTTGCATCAATAAAATAACCAAAGCATAATGAACATATGATGTGAGGATTCACGTCATTGATTCGTATAATGATATCCTGTAAAGGAAAAAATTAAACAACGGTTACTTATCTTAACTATGTGTTGGAGCACCACATTAATTTCCGTATTACCATAAATACCAGACAAAGCGTTTGATTAAATGCTAAAATCTCCCATTCACCCATGCACTTGAAGATCATTTCTTCACTCCAATTTATATACAACAAGAGCTGTCCGTAAGACAGCGCGCTCGACTTTTTTATTGCTTGCCAATAAAAAAAGTTTTTGCAGTAAAAGGCAATACAAGAACCAAGATTCTAAGTCGATAAAAGGCCTTAATTTTTAAAACAAATCCTTGACAGAGTTACCTTCTCTTGCGTACAGATGGGGGTAATGATGTGAAATAGCATTAAAAGTTTCAAAGCAATATCTCAAAGGGTTAAGGCAATAAGTGGATTTTACCCATATTCAATGTATTTTCTAAGTCAAAAAGGGGCATAATTCTGTCAAAAACCTTGACAGAGTTATGTCCTCTTGTCTGTTGATGAAGGTCGTGATGGTAAACAAGTATGGTCAGTTTCAAAGCAATACCTCCAATGGTTTTGAAATAAAGTGAGGTGGTACAAAAAACTTAACCAAGCTCAATACACTTTCTAAGTCAAAAAAGGGCCATAATTCTGTCAAAAACCTTGACAGAGTTATGTACTCTTGTCTGTAGATGGAGGTTATGATGGTGAACAAGTATGGTAAGTTTCAAAGCCATACTTGTAATACTTCTGAAATAAAGTGGGGTGGTACGAAAAACTTAACCAAGGTGTGACGCCGACGCCGACGCCGGGGCGAGTAGGATAGCTCCCCTTTTCATAGAAAAGTCGAGCTAAAAATGAACATGAATGCAAGAATGATGGCAAAAAAGTGATATTTTTCTACTTTGTGATCATGATTTCTGCAAGGGTCTAGAGGTATTGTTCCCAATAGGTCTTTGTATTGTCAGGGTACAGGCCATAGGATAACATTTAACGATACAGAGGAGCAATTAAGGCCAACCTGTTTGCGATACACCAGCAAATGCCTGAATGGTGTAATATTTAACATACTTTATGTCAAACTATCATCTTACATAAGACTTAATAATCCAGCAATTCAAATACATAGCAGAACACATTTACTAGGGATACTTTGATACTAATATTATTATACAACTTTAAAAGTGAACATTTAATTTGTAGATTCTACTCTATAAATAATTCTTACAATATAAACATTTACATTAAAGTTTTATTTTGAACATATAAATACTTGTATTAAATTCAATTCATAGAAATAGATATTCATTGCATTTATTTACTAACATTACAAAGAAACGTAATGATTATTTCATTTTTCAGTAACTTTCTTGTGTTTAAGTTAAAGAAAGCGAAACTTCTACATTGTAGTTGCTTAGCTTAATACCTTGGAGTGTTTATTTTCAGTCATATAACATGTTTCAGATAGGCTAAGAAAATACCCTGATTATTTTAAAAAGATATTTTTTACAAGCTTAATAATATAGGATGAAAAGCAGTGTTAGACCTACATGTATATCAGAATTTCTCGTTCAGTTATGATTCCAAAAAATTGTGAATCTGGCGATACAAAGGCACTCGAATATTCGTGTCCGAAATTCATGACAAATTTGCGATGTAAAGAGAGTTAGGAAATTCATTACAGCCTTAGTTCCCACACTATAGTACTAGAGTGGGTGGACCAACGCTCGGCGTAAAAATACTATATTTGATATGGCAAATTCAAATCAACGTCAACAAACCTCAATGTTATATGTCTATTTTCAAGACCGATGATATTGTTTTAAATAGCCATTCGCTAATCACATAATGATGTGCATGGCTGGAGCTATAGAAAGTCCGGATAAACAAGAGTGGTTTGCGTGAAATTGTACAATAGCTCGGCGTACAATACTCATGATGCAGGATTGTTTTTCGAATAAAATCTCATTTTTATCTTATGAAGAAAACATATTGAATAAATTGTAACAACCAAATAAGGTTCATACATTTACAAGAACCCAACTTTTAGTTTAAATTTTACAGCCCCAGAACTCTAGTGTTAAAAGATTTTAATAATTTATATGTTGGGGATTACATATGGTTGTTCGTCTGCTATTAGCATTGTCACGTGACTTTACCAGCAGTGAACCACACCAGAATAAAATGGTGAAAGATGTAAATAAAAGCACCAGTGACCTTAATCAGAGATAACTCGAGACATTTTCAGATATTCTAAAAAAAATATTTTTTACGCCGAGCATTGGTATGCGCTGAGCATTGGTCCAACCACTCAAGAGTTAAATCCAATGAGGGACAGTAGTGAATAACCTCCCCTGAGTACTCCCTATAAATAGATAGGTCCTAAGCTATTGGATTACTCGGACTTTATCGCCTATTTCTTTGTAGCAAACTGAATTAATTAGGGCTAATTATGATCATTTGTAATATTCAGATTAGATATTGCGATAGGATGTAGAATCTGTTGACATAAATTAAACATTTTTTCCTTTAGGTTTACATATTTGTTGATGCATGTGTAAATAATTGATTAAGGCATATCAACCTGTCTTATATAAAACTCAACGATAAAAGCAAAGGATTCCAAATATTTGGACCTACTTATATTTCGTTAAAGCGAAAGTCTATACAGATTTCATGCCCCTTGTCTATACAAATTTATCTGCCGTAAACCGTCTGACAGAACGATTTTCAGCAAAAACATCCGGAAAGTGGCCGCCAGCCGATGTTTTCAACTAGACGAGTATGAAAGGGAATACAGTGTTAGATATCATCGAGGATATGTGACCAAAGGGTTTTAGAAGTCTTGGTATGGTTATTTTGTTATGTTAAAAGGTTTCTTTTTACAAGATTAAAGCTAACATCTTTATCAGTTTATATCTTTGCGCCAATTGCGCATAGACAGTCTTTTGACGTTTTGAGATAAAATAATATTGTTGAATCTCTTCAAGTAAGACTTACTTGTCACACTTACAAACTTGCTTGCATAATTTCAGTCGGCCATATTCCCTAGCCATGAAAGATAACTCCCTGTTTCCCTGTCTAAAATTCCACCAAATTATTCCCCTTTCAAATGAACTCAAAGAAGGGACTTTTTAAAAAGACTTTGTATTTATTTATTCGATTTTTTGTTCAGAAACGGACAATTTTTTCTTTACCTTTGTTTAATTTGCTTTCTATCAATATATGGTTCCTATGGTAAACATATGAGTTTTGATGGTAAACAAATGAATTTTCTGAACCGAAAGTAATCTAACACACAGCGTTGCTGTCATCACATGTAAACAATACATTAAATCAGTAAGAATATTGAGATATTTGTTTGACTATCAGTTTCAAATGCAAAATATTAATATGGAAAACAACTATGTGTAGTCTATGTGTATTGTTTTAATGTGTTTGTCTGATATTTTAGTTGTAAAAGCCATGTACACTTAGTGTCGCTTCATAGCAACCGATTTAAAACGTGAGCGTTAACTGAACGAGATATGGCAAAGCGCATGCTCGCGCACTGACTTCCGCTCTATCGAAATATTGCATAGACGTATAGCGAAAGTTCGTAAGTGTGTCATAATCATGACAATCATCGTTCATCATAATTCGCAGATGGGGTTCAGATAGTATGAGTTACTTCCCTTACGACCTTAGTTTCTTATATGCAATTTGCTGTTAAAACTTAAATGTGAATCTTGATCTGTATACGGTGTGACGTCAAAGACATTGTTTACACCGGCCTTTGCAATTATCAAGCGGCTTAGGGCAACATGATATTCTCTCTAATGATTTTTTGCGAATGAGTGAAACAAAGGTGTTAGTCGCATTGAATGATTGATTTGACATAAACATTTGTTTAATCTTGTTATTCATTTAATATCAAAATATAGAAAAGATAAAAATGGAAAAAAATAGTGTTATATTGTTATGAATTACGGACAGGGCGGACCGTGAGACAGGGCGGACCGTATGTTTTGATGGGGCGTACCATATATTGGGACAGGGCGGACCCTGACTCAAGACTAGGCGGTCTGGAATTACAAACAAAATTGTGCACCTATCCAGAATTTTTTTTTTGGGTGGAAAGTGTCTTGATGGAATATTTTATCTTTTTTGACTGCTTTCTCGTGGTTGACTTCCTTTAATTTTGATTCCTTTGACAAGTTAGTTTACATCATGAACTTTAAGATGCTGTCTGTTTAGCGAATTGATATACATTGACGATTGTATATAAACTATTCTTGGTTGTCCTATAGTTAGTAAGGAATGAACTAATATAAATAATCATTTTTCCTTTATAAAACTTAAATGTTATGAATGGATTATATAAAAAAATATTAAAATTAAAGTAATTTTGTCAAGTTTATTAACTTCAGTGCAGAACGAAAATATGTTTTACTTATAAGATTTTTTCAATCCATTCCCACTATCTTACCCTACCTATTTTATACTTATAATTGCAAGGGTACTGTAAATGTTAATACTCTAAGTATTCACTGTAATATACATTGTATACATGTACTAGTATAAAATTATATTAATTTATTTTTTTAAACATTTTTTTGTTTTTGATAACATTGATATCAAAAGATAAAAAAAATAAAAAATGAAATAGCAGTATTAAATTTGAAATTAATTATGGTCCACCTCATCTCGAGTCATGGTCCACCCTTTCCAAGATATGGTCCGCCCTTTCCAAACATATGGTCCGTCCTGGTATGGTTTGCCCTGTCTCATGGTCCGCCCTGTCCTACGACCATTGTTTTATCTTGTTCAATACTGTCTGGTGCCATATAAGATGTTTGCATGGGACATTACAGATTGTTACTTTCTGATGCCACATAAGGCAATATTGTTAATAAATCATAATGAGCTATAATAGATTACATTACACACATATTTTTATTACTTTATTGTGAATAATTGTATTTATCAATCATATGTAGGCCTACAGAATGCAAATTTAAATTATCTGTAAATAAATTTGTACTGCTTTCAGAGAGATGTATGTAGATCAAACCCATCAAGTAAGCCAACACCATGTCTACAAGGTCATACCTCTAGAACCTCTCACACCTCTACAGCTGAGGACAAATCTAAAAGTTTGTATTCAGTGTTAGCGATTTTCCCTAACTTTACTGAGTACCTGGGACTCAGTGCTAATAGATCTGTTACGTCCCAATTCAAATGGAACGAGTCCTCAATTACAAAAATGTCAATGTTTGCATAACTTCATAATACAATCAAATTTGTGACTGTTGATGTTCGCGGATACCATTGATAGGTTGGCCCAAAACGAGGCCGAGCACTTGCTCCTAGTCTACGTTTGGGATATAAATCTGCATTGCTAATGAGAAAGTAACAAATGAAAATGAGGTGAAAGTCAAGTTCTTATAATACAATTTATTTAAAGTGAATAGAAAATCATTTTCAAGCAGAGCAAAAAAACTTAAGAGAGAATTGACCAATTATCGGGGAAAAAGTGTTTCGTCCCAGGGACTCAACAGCCCTTTTTTTCTTTCCTCCCTGGCAATTTTAGCAAGTAAATTGATATGTTTACTCAGTAAACGCGAACACTGGTATTCATATTCAATGTATTCGAACTTGAGATTATTTGAATAACTGGAGGACTTTTATCCTTTGCAAGTCTATGTTTGCAGCAGTGCTAGACTTGGTTAGGGTTGTGTATGCAATTTTAAATTCCATATTTTAAGTGACATAATCATTTTTAGCTTGATTTAAAACCCAGGGAACAGTGTCTCTGTTTCATTCATATATGAAATGAGAAGTTGCTTATTTTAATGTAAATATTTATTATTTACTTACTATTGAAGTATTGTAGCATTTATCTCCCATGTGTTGCAGGTGGACAGAGGGATAGTATGAATGCTTCAGTGAAATTAAGGAGCTCAGGTTCTAACAAGGTACATGTATACACATGTTTATATATGAAATGGATTCTTCAGATTTGATACTAAATTGATATTATACATATTGTCATGTCTATCAGTGAATATAACTTGATAGGATTCCAATAATTGTTTTTAAATAACAATTCAATTCAATATTTTATTGAGCATATGAACATATTTAAATGTTCTTTACTCACATATATAACATGCAAGGCGGTGACATTTATTACAGTGAGAAGAGCATGATTATGTTATTACAATGAACTATATAAATAACTAAACAGTAACAATAACAATACAGTCAGAAATATTTTTAAAAAAAACATTGGAAACATGAAGAAGTCTACATTTTCATATTCAATTTGAACAATGGAATTATTCACAAGTCTCTACTGTTGGGATGGCTAAATGCTATTTTGTGCAGAAGACCTCCTGGCCTTTAATATTTACTTTGGTGCCATGTATTGCATTATTAAATGTGACATTAACCAATATCAAAATTCTGTAGTGCAAGTTAATATTTACTAGTATACCTGGTAAACTTTGTAGCAGGGCAAGTATTTACTGCCGTTGTGATATGACTAAATTGTTGTTGGAAGTAGCATCAAACCCTTTACCCACAATAAATTGTTTAAACAATATTTTTCTCTTCCATTCAAGCATAGTAGAGCAGTGCAACACAGAGGTACTCCGATGTGCAATTTTACAATTTTTTCCAGACAGTGATTACAGCGAGGCTTGAAGACTACTGTACACAATTTCTTAACAAATCCAAAAACAAAGCCGTGTAACATTCAACTAAGTATGTATTTTTCCTTAACTTCATACAACATATAGCACAAACTCTGCACATTTCTGAAAACTTATTTTAAAGGTTGAATTATATCTTACCGACCAACTTCAGAATGTCAGAACTTAGAAACATTATTAGATGTGTAGTCAATTTAGTCAGTCATCCTGCCACCTCAGTGATGTCCCTATTCAGTGACAATAAATTTTGAGACATATTAAACGTAAAAGACCAAACTAAATAGCATTTCACATATTTATTATTTCAACAGAACCCTGAAAATGCTTTCCTAAAACGTCTCAAGGGAATTGTCAGACTTTTCTACTTATTTGAGGTCATTTCAAGGGCAGATAACTTATACATACTCAAATGAATTCTTGTTTTTACTTCTGGATTATGCTTTTCTTTTTATTTTTGAGTACAATACATAATAATATGCAATTCCTTACGTTGTTTCCATTAACTTTTTTTCAATGAAAATAAAGGTACTTTAAATCCTTAAAAAACAGGCCATTTTTTTTAAGAAAAAATGCACAGTTTAAAAAAAGAAGTGGAAATAAAAACTACCCACTCTAAATTTGTTCTTGAAATTTTGCATATCAACTAAAATGAAGGTAAGCTTGATGAAAATAAGAAAAAAAATGTATTAATTCCCTTCATTGTAAATTATCTGCCCTTGAATTTAACAAAAAAGTCCATTTCAAAGGCAGATGACTCAAAAACAAGAACGGTGACCCCAATTTTTTTTTTTCACTTAAAATGATTCTGTTATCATATTCTAACAACATCTTACATGCCAAGTTTAAAGAAATTCTATTGAACAGTTTTAATTTTGCCTATATGTCTATATGAAAACTTCCAAAAACGTCCTTAAGTGATAAAGACTGACAAGTAAATCAATAACACATTTTGCCATTCCCATGAGTGGTCTTTACTTACAGGTTTGACTGATCATTAAATCTAAAAATATCAAAGCACTACATGCTCGGGAAGAAAGCCTTAACCAAAATTGAACACTTAGTGCCCGAATTTAAGTTTAAAATTTGTGCATTTATTTAAGTGATCACAATTTTGGTAGAAACAATGCTATAAATGTTGCTTTAAATGCAGAGTAAAGTAAACTTTTGTCATTTTTTACAGGTGATTCAAAGAAAACCAAACTACAAACAAGAAAGGGTCGATTGAATGGAGTGACATTTTTACCCTGAAGCGTCCTATTAAGATAAAGAGAATCTAGTCGTTTGTGCCATGGCACAAAAATTATCAGACACATAAGTAACATTCAAGTAGTAGTATGCATTTACATGGAGGATATGACATAATTGTATTTTCATATTGAATTTATCATATAAGTTGAATAAAGAAAATAAAATGTGAGGCTCTGTCGAGCATTTTAAAAGTTTTAATAAATGCAATTTGGAAAGTCACAAATGTAATATTCTTTTATCACATGTTAGATTTTCCTGTCAAAACATTGAAAATTATTTTTTCTTTTACTATATTAACAAGCCAACTTAATCAACACTTCCAATACTTTAAACGACATTGACGTCAAATCTTTATTACACTAGTGTATAATAATTTTTTTGTAATGACTTTATTACAATCCTGTGATGTCAAACATATGATAATGTTCTATTAGCATTAATTGTAGACTTGTTGAACTTTTTTCTTAACAAACTCTATGAAATACTGGTTGAACCCTAATAGTGCTGGAAACAAACGTTTCAGGCCATGTTGACCAGTGTAGACCAGATCTGCAGGCACCCTTGCCAGTTGATCGAACCACACACTTAATTGCCAACATGGTTGGAAGGGTCTTATTGTCCAAGCTGCAAAGAGTGTATACCCATATAAACTAGCTGGCACAGTTGTGTGTCAGTTGATATCAGTCTGTGCTGGTTGCAAATTCAAATCCAATACTTTCATAGAATTATACGTTTTTATTTAATGTTTATAGCATCAATAATTTGATAATCTGAAAACATATTGCAAGTCAGGTTTTCAAGTATAATCCTATAAATTAACTTTTAGAACATTCTGCATAAAGTAAGGTGATATCTCTAAGTTGTCAAAGAAAAGCTTTTGCAGCTCTTTATAATTAAACATGGCATGGCACTTGTATCTATAGCTTTGTCCTCCATACAAGTACTCAAATTTTGTGACATTTTTTAATATATTTTCCCCCATATTCCTATTTACAGTAATTTGTTACATTTCTCTTTTAATAGTTTCCAAGTGGTAAATAAAAACAATAAAATTTCACGATTATTTCTAATATTTTATTTACTTGTGTATTTCATGCAATTAGGCTAAAAATGTAAAAAAGTAATTTTTGAAGAAATTTTTTTTAAAGTTAGACCAGTGTTGCATCAGCCATCAATATGTTAACTTGTCTAGAGTATGTACACAAACATACTGGGAGAAGAAACAGATTTTTGGCTAAATGAAAGTACAAAATGTTTTTGCTTAACGTTTTCCAATGAATAACCATGTACAAGGTTAAATTACTTTTTTGGGTGATGTTCTTTTCTGTGGAAAGACCAGGTGTTGCTTCACAATTGTTTTTTTTCCTCATTAATATCATTTTATGTAATTTCCATTTTTGGCTTTTTGCTTGATATATTGATGTCCTGTGTGAGCATCTATTAGCAATACATGTATCAATGAGTGTCATGAGTTACTTATAAGACCATAAAGTACAAAATAAAACTATATTACAGCTGTTAATTGTTTTGTCTTTTCTTTCCTGTGGTCAAGGTTTTGTACTGCTACGACTTACTCTTTCAGGGAGTGAACTTAGATATACAACTGTTATTAATGGTGTAGAGGGAATGTCCACTTTTATGTTGACACTAAGAAATTAAAATTGTCTTGGTCTGTAGTAGCAATGTAGTTTTGAATTTTAGATGAACATGATTTGCTCCTACCAGTACTTTTATGGAGATGACCTTGTATATCTTTGTTACACAATTAAATATTCAAAAAAAAAAATGTTACTTATGAACATGGTAAATTTTTAGATTCATACCAAACAAAGTCAAGCAAAATGTGTATAGGCACATCATACAGATAGAATAAAGTCAAATTGGTATAGACACATCATGTCCAGTGAAATCTGAAACCTGTAAAGACAGATCATACTGATTGAAATCTGTATAGACAGATCATAATGAATAAAGTCTGGTTAAATTTGTATAGACAGATCATAATAAAGTCTTGCGAAATCTGTATAGACAGATCATAAAAAAATGAAGTCTGGTGAAATCTGTATAGACAGATCATACAGAATAAAGTCTAGTGAAATCTGTATAGACAGTTCATATTATGAATTAAATCTAGTGAAATCTGTATAGACAGATCATACCGAATGAAGTCTAGTGAAATTTGTATAGACAAATCATATTATGAATGAAGTCTAGTGAAATCTGTATAGACAGATCATACCGAATGCAATCTAGTGGAATCTGTATAGACAGATCAAAACAAATTAAATCTGGTAAAAACTGTATAGACAGATGATACAGAATGAAGTCTAGTGAAATCTGTATAGACAGATCATAATGAATGAAGTCTAGTGAAATCTGTATAGACAGTTCATAATGAATGCAATCTAGTGAAATCTGTATAGACAGATCATACCCAATGAAGTATGGTGAAATCTGTATAGACGGTGAGATGATACCGAATGAAATCTAGTGAAATCTGTATAGACAGATCATATACCGAATGAAATCTAGTGAAATCTGTATAGACAGTTCATAATGAATGCAATCTAGTGAAATCTGTATAGACAGATCATACCGAATGAAGTATGGTGAAATCTGTATAGACAGATCATACCAAATGAAGTCTAGTGAAATCTGTATAGACAGATTATAATAAATAAAGTGTAGTGAAATCTGTATAGACAGATCATAATGAATGAAGTATGGTGAAATCTGTATAGACAGATCATACAGAATGAAGTATGGTGAAATCTGTATAGACAGATCATACCGAATGAAATCTAGTGAAATCTGTATAGACAGTTGATAATAAATAAAGTGTAGTGAAATCTGTATAGACAGATCATACCAAATGAAGTCTAGTGAAATCTGTATAGACAGTTCATAATAAATAAAGTGTAGTGAAGTCTGTATAGACAGATCATATACCGAATGAAGTATGGTGAAATCTGTATAGACAGATCATACCGAATGAAATCTAAGTGAAATCTGTATAGACAGTTCATAGTAAATAAAGTGTAGTGAAATCTGTATAGACAGATTATAATGAATTAAGTATAGTGAAATCTGTATAGACAGATCATAATGAATGCAATCTAGTGAAATCTGTATAGACAGATTATAATGAATTAAGTATAGTGAAATCTGTATAGACAGATCATACCGAATGAAATCTAGTGAAATCTGTATAGACAGTTCATAATAAATAAAGTGTAGTGAAATCTGTATAGACAGATTATAATGAATTAAGTATAGTGAAATCTGTATAGACAGTTCATAATGAATGCAATCTAGTGAAATCTGTATAGACAGATCATACCGAATGAAGTATGGTGAAATCTGTATAGACAGATCATACCGAATGAAGTATGGTGAAATCGGTATAGACAGATCATACCGAATGAAATCTAGTGAAATCTGTATAGACAGTTCATAATAAATAAAGTGTAGTGAAATCTGTATAGACAGATCATACCAAATGAAGTCTAGTGAAATCTGTATAGACAGATCATACCAAATGAAGTCTAGTGAAATCTGTATAGACAGTTCATAATAAATAAAGTGTAGTGAAGTCTGTATAGACAGATCATATACCGAATGAAGTATGGTGAAATCTGTATAGACAGATCATACCGAATGAAATCTAAGTGAAATCTGTATAGACAGTTCATAGTAAATAAAGTGTAGTGAAATCTGTATAGACAGATTATAATGAATTAAGTATAGTGAAATCTGTATAGACAGATCATAATGAATGCAATCTAGTGAAATCTGTATAGACAGATTATAATGAATTAAGTATAGTGAAATCTGTATAGACAGATCATACCGAATGAAATCTAGTGAAATCTGTATAGACAGTTCATAATAAATAAAGTGTAGTGAAATCTGTATAGACAGATTATAATGAATTAAGTATAGTGAAATCTGTATAGACAGTTCATAATGAATGCAATCTAGTGAAATCTGTATAGACAGATCATACCGAATGAAGTATGGTGAAATCTGTATAGACAGATCATACCGAATGAAGTATGGTGAAATCGGTATAGACAGATCATACCGAATGAAATCTAGTGAAATCTGTATAGACAGTTCATAATAAATAAAGTGTAGTGAAATCTGTATAGACAGATCATACCAAATGAAGTCTAGTGAAATCTGTATAGACAGTTCATAATAAATAAAGTGTAGTGAAGTCTGTATAGACAGATCATACCGAATGAAGTATGATGAAATCTGTATAGACAGATCATACCGAATGAAATCTAGTGAAATCTGTATAGACAGTTCATAGTAAATAAAGTGTAGTGAAATCTGTGTAGAAAGATTATAATGAATTAAGTATAGTGAAATCTGTATAGACAGATCATAATGAATGCAATCTAGTGAAATCTGTATAGACAGATCATACCAAATGAAGTATGGTGAAATCTGTATAGACAGATCATACCAAATGAAATCTAGTGAAATCTGCATAGACAGTTCATAATAAATGAAGTCTAGTGAAATCTGTATAGACAGTTCATAATGAATGCAATCTAGTGAAATCTGTATAGACAGATCATACCAAATGAAATCTAGTGAAATCTGTATAGACAGTTCATAATAAATAAAGTGGAGTGAAATCTGTATAGACAGATTATAATAAATGAATGATTCTTAGTCTAGTGAAATCTGTATGAAATCTAGTGAAATCTGTATAGACAGTTCATAATAAATAAAGTGTAGTGAAATCTGTATAGACAGTTCATAATGAATGAAGTCTAGTGAAATCTGTATAGACAGATCATACCGAATGAAGTATGGTGAAATCTGTATAGACAGTTCATAATGAATGCAATCTAGTGAAATCTGTATAGACAGATCATACCGAATGAAGTATGGTGAAATCTGTATAGACAGATGATACCGAATGAAATCTAGTGAAATCTGTATAGACAGATTATAATAAATAAAGTATGGTGAAATCTGTATAGACAGTTTATAATGAATGCAATCTAGTGAAATCTGTATAGACAGATCATACCGAATGAAATCTGGTGAAATCTGTATAGACAGATCATAATGAATGAAGTCTGGTGAAATCTGTATAGACAGATTATACCGAATGAAGTCTGGTGAAATCTGTATAGACAGATCATACCGAATGAAATCTGGTGAAATCTGTATAGACACATATACATGATAAAATATTTTCAAATAAATATAGACAGTGGTCTATTGATCATACGGAATGAACTCTGTTGAAGTCTGTATAGACACATTATATAGGGTGAAATATATAGTAAAATTAGTGAAGTTAAGTTTTTTAGTACACATAACTTGGTAAGATCTTTCAAATCAGGACACATATTAGGATAGTTCAGTCAAATCTGTATAGACAAAATATCAAGAGTAAAATTTGGTGGTCATGAACCTTTTTCAGTACATGCGGTAATGCATTTTTTATGTTTTTGTTCATAAAAACCTAATTTATTTTTCATGAAAATGAAAAAGTTTCAGAAAAACGTATCTTTTATTCCTTACAGTAGATCTAAATTTACTTTCACGACATCATGCAGATTTTACGACTTTCAAATCTGTATAGACGAGTACCTTGTAATTAGTATAGACTTTCGCCCTTTCCCTTATATTTTGGTTAACCTTGGTTTTTATCAAGGGAAGATAATCAACTACTGTCCCCCATTACTGATTAAGGCAAATGATGTTGTTTAATTCACTAATTAATTGACCTAGATGTCGTGTTTCAAACTTTTAACAGTTTGAAAAATATAATGTCTGACTATAAAAGGTTAGAAAAAAGTAATTGGGTAGGGTTGAGGTTAACATTTATTAAAGCCTACTTAGCCTAGTATTAAAACTTTCAATCTACATAAATATTGATAGGACTTATTTATCTGGGCAATTTCATACCTAACACCGTTTTGAAAATTATTTAAGAATAATTAGAGGAAAGTTCGAATAGAAAAAGACAAAACTTACCTCCTCTATACCAACAGGATACAAAGACAAATTCGAGGTCATTCTAAAGCATGATCAAACCTTACAAAGAGCGTGTCATGACAAAAAATATCAAATCTTTCCTCCCGGAAGTTTCGTTAAAGCGAAAGTCTATACAGATTTCATGCCCCTTGTCTATACAAATTTATCTGCCGTAAACCGTCTGACAGAACGATTTTCAGCAAAAACATCCGGAAAATGGCCCGCCAGCCGATGTTTTCAACTAGACGAGTATGAAAGGGAATACAGTGTTAGATATCATCGAGGATATGTGACCAAAGGGTTTCAGAAGTCTTGGTATGGTTATTTTGTTATATTTTTGTTATTATGATAAAAGGTTTCTTTTTACAAGATTAAAGCTAACATCTTTATCAGTTAAAGTAGTTAATATCTTTGCGCCAATTGCGCATAGAGTCTAGACAGTCTTTTGACGTTTTGTGATAAAATAATATTGTTGAATCTCTTACTTGTCATAATCACGACAATCATCGTTCATCATAATTCGCAGATGGGGTTCAGATAGTATGAGTTACTTCCCTTACGACCTTAGTTTCTTATATGCAATTTGCAGTTAAAACTTAAATGTGAATCTTGATCTTGATCTGTATACGGTGTGACGTCAAAGACATTGTTTTACACCGGCCTTTGCAATTATCAAAGCGGCTTAGGGCAACATGATACCCTCTCTAATGATTTTTGCGAATGAGTGAAACAAAGGTGTTAGTCGCAATGAATGATTGATTTGACATAAACATTTGTTTAATCTTGTTATTCATTTAATATCAAAATATAGAAAAGATAAAAATGGATTTGTGCTATATTGTTATGAATTACGGACAGGGCGGACCGTGAGACAGGGTGGACCGTATGTTTGGATGGGGCGGACCATATTTTGGGACAGGGCGGACCCTGACTCAAGACGAGGCGGTCTGGAATTACAAACAAAATTGCGCACCTATCCAGAATTATTTTTTTTTTGGTGGAAAGTGTCTTGATGGAATATTTTATCTTTTTTGACTCCTTTCTCGTGGTTGACTTCCTTCAATTTTGATTCTTTTGACAAGTAAGTTTACATCATGAACTTTAAGATGCTGTCTGTTTAGCAAATTGATATACATAATGTATAATTATGGTCAATGACGATTAAGAAATAATATATCCCAAACTGTGATTTTATTGCTCAATAACATCACTGTTTGGAGTTCGGATGCGGGGAATTATATCACGAGGGCGTAGCCTGAGTGATATAATGATGCGCATCCGAACGACAAACAGTGATGTTATCAAGCAATAAAATCACCGATTTGGATATATTATTTCGATTCTTACACGACATCAACAAATAAATGCTGCCCGTGCATGATAATTAGCTAAATTGCGCCTGATTTGTGTCCGTACTTATTGTCAGCGCGTCACATTTTTAGTGGTTACGTCACGTGTTATAATGATTACGTCACATGTCTAAATATAGAAACGTCAAACAGTGATTTTATAGCATGATAACACACACTTTCGGTTCTTCTATGTTCGATAGGGAAAAATGCGGGTTGTGTAAGAATTGTATTTAAACTATTCTTGGTTGTCCTATAGTTAGTAAGGAATGAACTAATATAAATAATCATTTTTCCTTTATAAAACTTAAATGTTATGAATGGATTTATATAAAAAAATATTACAATTAAAGTAATTTTGTCAAGTTTATTTACTTCAGTGCAGAACGAAAATATGTTTTACTTATAAGATTTTTTCAATCCATTCCCACTATCTTACCCCTACCTATTTTTATACTTATAATTGCAAGGGTACTGTAAATGTTAATACTCTAAGTATTCACTGCTAATATAACATTGTATACATGTAAGTTATAAAATTATATTAATATTTTTTTAACATTTTTTTGTTTTTGATAACATTGATATAAAGATAAAAAATATAAAATAAATGAAATAGCAGTATTAAATTTTGAAATTAATTATGGTCCACCTCATCTCGAGTCATGGTCCGCCCTTTCCAAGATACCGTCCTGGTATGGTTTGCCCTGTCTCACACGGTCCGCCCTGTCCTACGACCAATTACTGTTATATCTTTGTCCATACTGTCTGGTGCCATATAAGTTGTTTGCATGGGACATTACAGAGTGTTACTTCTGATGCCACATAAGGCAATATAGTTAATAAATCATATGAGCTATAATAGATTACATTACACACATATTTTTATTACTTTATTGTGAATAATTGTATTTTTATCAATCATATGTAGGCCTACAGAATGCAAATTTAAATTATCTGTAAATAAATTTGTACTGCTTTCAGAGAGATGTATGCAGATCAAACCCATCAAGTAAGCCAACACCATGTCTACAAGGTCATACCTCTAGAACCTCTCACACCTCTAACAGCTGAGGACAAATCTAAAAGTTTGTATTCGTATTAATTGTATTCGAACTTAAGATTATTTGAATAACTGGAGGGAATTTTATCCTTTGCAAGTCTATGTTTGCAGCAGTGCTAGACTTGGTTAGGGTTGTGTATGCAATTTTAAATTCCCATATTTTAAGTAACATAATCATTTTTAGCTTGATTTAAAACCCAGGGAACAGTGTCTCTGTTTCATTCATATAATTATGAAATGAGAAGTTGCTTATTTTAATGTAAATATTTATTATTTACTTACTATTAAAGTATTACAGCATTTATCTCCCATGTGTTGCAGGTGGACAGAGGGATAGTATGAAATGCTTCAGTGAAATTAAGGAGCTCAGGTTCTAACAAGGTACATGTACATGTATACACATGTTTATATATGAAATGGATTCTTCAGATTTTGATACTAAATTGAATATTATACATATTGTCATGTCTATCAGTGAATATAACTTGATAGGATTCCAATAATTGTTTTTAAATAACAATACAGTCAGAAATATTTTTTTAAAAAAAAACCATTGGAAACACTGAAGAAGTCTACATTTTCATGACTTTAATATAATATTCAATTTGAACAATGGAATTATTCACAAGTCTCTACTGTTGGGATGGCTAAATGCTATTTTGTGCAGAAGACCTCCTGGCCTTTAATATTTACTTTTGGTGCCATGTATTGCATTATTATATGTGACATTAACAATATTAAAATTCTGTAGTGCAAGTTAATATTTTACTAGTATACCTGGTAAACTTTGTAGCAGGGCAAGTATTTACTGCCGTCGTGATATGACTAAATTGTTGTTGGAAGTAGCATCAAACCCTTTACCCACAATAAATTGTTTAAACAATATTTTTCTCTTCCATTCAAGCGTAGTAGAGCAGTGCAACACAGATGTACTCCGATGTGCAATTTTACAAGTTTTTCCCAGACAGTGATTACAGCGAGGCTTGAAGACTACTGTACACAATTTCTTAACAAATCCAAAAACAAAGCCGCGTAACATTCAACTAAGTATGTATTTTTCCTTATCTTCATTATCATACAACATATAGCACAAACTCTGCACATTTCTGAAAACTTATTTTAAAGGTTGAATTATATCTTACCAACCAACTTCAGAATGTCAGAACTTAGAAACATTATTAGATTTGTAGTCAATTTAGTCAGTCATCCTGCCACCTCAGTGATGTCCCTATTTTCAGTGACAATAAATTTTGAAGACATATTTAACTTAAAATACCAAACTAAATAGCATTTCACATATTTATTATTTTCAACAGAACCTTCCCTGAAAATGCTTTCCTAAAACGTCTCAAGGGAATTGTCAGACTTTCTACTTATTTGAGGTCATTTCAAGGGCAGATAACTTATACAAATACTCAAATGAATTCTTGTTTATTACTTCTGCATTATGCTTTTCTTTTTATTTTTTGAGTACAATACATAATAATATGCAATTCCTTACATTGTTTCCATTAACTTTTTTCAATGAAAATAAAGGTACTTTAAATCCTTAAAAAACAGGCCATTTTTTAAGAAAAAATGCACAGAAGAAAGTGGAATAAAAACTACCCACTCTAAATTTGTTCTTGAAATTTTGCATATCAACTAAAATGAAGGTAAGCTTGATGAAAATAAGAAAATAAATGTTATTAATTCTCTTCATTGTAAATTATCTGCCCTTGAATTTTAACAAAAAGTCCATTTTCAAAAGCAAATGACTCAAAAACGAGAAATTTTTTTTTTGCTTAAAATGTTTCTGTTATCATATTCTAACAACATCTTACATGCCAAGTTTAAAGAAATTCTATTGAACAGTTTTAATTTTGCCTATATGTCTATATGAAAACTTCAAAAAACGTCCGTAAGTGATAAAGACTGACAAGTAAATCAATAACACATTTTGCCATTCCCATGAGTGGTCTTTACTTACAGGTTTGACTGTACATTAAATCTAAAATAACAAAGCACTACATGCTTGGGAAGAAAGCCTTAACCAAAATTGAACACTTAGTGCACTTAGTGCCCGAATTTAAGTTTAAAATTTGTGCATTTATTTAAGTGATCACAATTTTGGTAGAAAACAATGTTATAAATGTTGCTTTAAATGCAGAGTAAAGTAAAGTTTTGTCATTTTTTTACAGGTGATTCAAAGAAAACCAAACTACAAACAAGAAAGGGTCGATTGAATGGAGTGACATTTTTACCCTGAAGCGTCCTATTAAGATTAAGAGAATCTAGTCGTTTGTGCCACGGCACAAAAAATTATCAGACACATAAGTAACATTCAAGTAGTAGTATGCATTTACATGGAAGATATGACATAATTGTATTTTCATATTGAATTTATCATATAAAGTTGAATAAAGAAAAATAAAAATGTGAGGCTCTGTCGAGCATTTTAAAAGTTTTAATTAATGCAATTTGGGAAAGTCACAAAATGTAATATTCTTTTATCACATGTTAGATTTTCCTGTCAAAACATTGAAAATTATTCTTTCTTTTACTATTTTAACAAGCCAACTTAATCAACACTTCCAATAACTTTAAACGACATTGACGTCAAATCTTTATTACACTAGTGTATAATAATTTTTTGTAATGACTTTATTAGAATCCTGTGATGTCAAACATATGATAATGTTTCTATTAGCATTAATTGTAGACTTGTTGAACTTTTTTCTTAACAAACTCTATGAAATACTGGTGAACCCTAATAGTGCTGGAAACAAACGTTTCAGGCCATGTTGACCAGTGTAGACCAGATCTGCAGGCACCCTTGCCAGTTGATTGAACCACACACTTAATTGCCAAACATGGTTGAAAGGGTCTTATTGTCCAAGCTGCAAAGAGTGCATACCCATATAAACTAGCTGGCACAGTTGTGTGTCAGTTGATATCAGTCTGTGCTGGTTTGCAAATTCAAATCCAATACTTTCATAGAATTATATGTTTTTATTTAATGTTTATAGCATCAATAAATTGATAATCTGAAAAAATAGTGCAAGTCAGGTTTTCAAGTATAATCCTAATTAACTTTTAGAACATTTTGCATAAAGTAAGGTGATATCTCTAAGTTGTCAAAGAAAAGCTTTTGCAGCTCTTTATAATTAAACATGGCATGGCACTTGTATCTATAGCTTTGTCCACCATACAAGTACTCAAATTTTGTGACATTTTTAGCTCGACTTTTCTATGAAAAGGGGAGCTATCCTACTCGCGTCGGCGTCGGCGTTAGCGTTGGCGTCACACCTTGGTTAAGTTTTTCGTACCACCCCACTTTATTTCAGAAGTATTACAAGTATGGCTTTGAAACTTACCATACTTGTTCACCATCATAACCTCCATCTACAGACAAGAGTACATAACTCTGTCAAGGTTTTTGACAGAATTATGGCCCTTTTTTGACTTAGAAAGTGTATTGAGCTTGGTTAAGTTTTTGTACCACCTCACTTTATTTCAAAACCATTGGAGGTATTGCTTTGAAAACTGACCATACTTGTTTACCATCACGACCTTCATCAACAGACAAGAGGACATAACTCTGTCAAGGTTTTTGACAGAATTATGCCCCTTTTTGACTTAGAAAATACATTGAATATGGGTAAAATCCACTTATTGCCTTAACCCTTTGAGATATTGCTTTGAAACTTTAATGCTATTTCACATCATTACCCCCATCTGTACGCAAGAGAAGGTAACTCTGTCAAGGATTTGTTTTAAAAATTAAGGCCTTTTATCGACTTAGAATCTTGGTTAAGTTTTTAGTACCAGTCCACTTTTTGACTGAACTGTTTGAGATATTAATTTGAAAGTTGGAATACTTGTTTACCATCATGGTCCCAAAACATGGGCAGGAGAAGGTAATTCTGTTAAGGATTTTATTTGAATTATGGCCCTTTTTGACTTAGAAACTCAGTTAAGATTTTCATTCTTGTCCACTTGTTGACTTAACCATTTGAGATATTACTTTGGAAGTTGGAGTTCTTATGTGCCATCATGAGACCTATCTGTAAGCAAGAGAAGATAACTCTGTGAAAATGTTTCTTGATTTGTACTTAGAAATTCCTAGTTAAAGTCTTGTGTGCCCTTAACTGTCAAAGTTTTGTTTTATAGGCAAGCACTAAAAAAGTCGAGCGCGCTGTCCTTCTGACAGCTCTTGTTTAATATATTTTTCCCCATATTCCAATTACAGTAATTTGTTACATTTCTCTTTCCTCTATCATTCTTAGTTTTTGTATTTAATATTTTCCAAGTGGTAAATAAAAACAATAAAATTTCACGATTATTTCTAATATTTTATTTACTTGTGTATTTCATGCAATTTAGGCTAAAAATGTAAAAAAGTAATTTTTGAAGAATTTTTTTTTTAAGTTAGACCAGTGTTGCTTCAGCCATCAATATGTTAACTTGTCATGTAGTATGTACACAAACATACTGGGAGAAGAAACAGATGTTTGGCTGAATGAAAGTACAAAATGTTTTTGCTTATCGTTTTCCAATGAATAACCATGTACAAGGTTAAATTACTTTTTTGGGTGATGTTCTTTTCTGTGGAAAGACCAGGTGTTGCTTCACAATTGTTTTTTTTCCTGACATTAATATCATGTTATGTAATTTCCATTTTTGGCTTTTTGCTTGATATATTGATGTCCTGTGTGAGCATCTATTAGCAATACATGTATCAATGAGTGTCATGAGTTACTTATAAGACCATGAAGTACAAAATAAAACTATATTACAGCTGTTAATTGTTTTGTCTTTTCTTTCCTGTGGTCAAGGTTTGGTACTGCTATGACTTACTCTTTCAGGGAGTGAACTTAGATATACAACTGTTATTAATAGTGTAGAGGGAATGTCCACTTTTATGTTGACACTAAGAAATTAAATTGTCAATGGTCTGTAGTAGCAATGTATTTTTGAAAAAAGTTCTTGCAATTTTAGATGAACATGATTTGCTCCTACCAGTACTTTTATGGAGATGACCTTATATATCTTAAACAATTAAATATTTAAAAAAAATGTTACTTATGAAAATGGTAAATTTTTAGATTCATACCAAACAAAGTCAAGCAAAATGTGAATAGGCACATCATACAGATAGAATAAAGTCAAATTGGTATAGACACATCATGTCCAGTGAAATCTGAAACCTGTAAAGACAGATCATACTGATTGAAATCTGTATAGACAGATCATAATGAATGAAGTCTGGTTAGATTTGTATAGACACATCATAATAAAGTCTTGTGAAATCTGTATAATAAGACAGATCATAAAAAAATGAAGTCTGGTGAAATCTGTACAGACAGATCATAATGAATAAAGTCTTGTGAAATCTGTATAGACAGATCATAACGAATTAAATCTGGTGAAATCTGTATAGACAGATCATAATGAATGAAATATGGTGAAATCTGTATAGACAGATCATACCCAATGAATACTAATGAAATCTGTATAGACAGATCATACCAAATTAAATCAGTGAAATCTGTATAGACAGATCATAATGAATGAAGTCTGGTGAAATCTGTATAGACAGATCATACCCAATGAATACTAGTGAAATCTGTATAGACAGATCACACCGAATGAAGTCTGTTGAAATCTGTATAGACACATTATGTAGGATGAAATATAGTCAAATTAGTATAGACACATCATATCAATGTGCTCAAGTGAAATCTGTATAGACAGATCATACTGAATGAAATTTGATGAAATCTGTATAGACAGATCATACTGTATGAAATCTGTATAGACAGATCATACCGAATGAAATCTGATGAAATCTGTATAGACAGATCATACAGTATGAAATCTGTATAGACAGATCATACCGAATGAAGTCTGATGAAATCTGTATAGACAGATCATACTGAATGAAATCTAGTGAAATCTGTATAGACAGATCATACCGAATGAAGTCTGTTAAAATCTGTATAGACACATTATGTAGGATGAAATCTAGTCAAATTAGTATAGACACATCATATCAATGTGCTCAAGTGAAATCTGTATAGACAGATCATACTGAATGAAATTTGATGAAATCTGTATAGACAGATCATACTGTATGAAATCTGTATAGAAAGAGCATACCGAATGAAGTCTGATGAAATCTGTATAGACAGATCATACTGTATGAAATCTGTATAGACAGATCATACTGAATGAAATCTAGTGAAATCTGTATAGACAGATCATACCGAATGAAGTCTGATGAAATCTGTATAGACAGATCATACTGAATGAAATCTAGTAAAATCTGTATAGACAGATCATACCGAATGAAGTCTAGTGAAATCTGTATAGACAGATCATACTGAATGAAATCTAGTGAAATCTGTATAGACAGATCATACTGAATGCATGAAGTCTAGTGAAATCTGTATAGACACATTATATAAAGGTTGAAATATAGTCAAATTGGTATAGACACATCATGTCAAGTGTAGTCTATTGAAATCTGTATAGACAGATCATACTGAATGAAATCTGTATAGACAGATCATACTGAATGAAATCTTGTGAAATCTGTATAGACGGATCATACCGAATGAAGTCTAGTGAAATCTGTATAGACAGATCATACTGAATGAAATCTAGTGAAATCTGTATAGACAGATCATACTGAATGCATGAAGTCTAGTGAAATCTGTATAGACACATTATATAAAGGTTGAAATATAGTCAAATTGGTATAGACACATCATGTCAAGTGTAGTCTATTGAAATCTGTATAGACAGATCATACTGAATGAAATCTGTATAGACAGATCATACTGAATGAAATCTTGTGAAATCTGTATAGACGGATCATACCGAATGAAGTCTGTTGAAATCTGTATAGACAGATCATACTGAATGAAATCTAGTGAAATCTGTATAGACAGGTCGTACCTAATGAAGTCTGTTGAAATCTGTATAGACACATTATATAGGATGAAATATAGTCAAATTGGTATAGACACATCATATCAATGTGGTCCAGTGAAATCTGTATAGACAAAATAGCAGAGTAAAATTTGGTGGTCAGGAACCTTTTGCAGGACATGCAGTAATGCATTTTTTTTGTTTGGTTTGGTTTAACATATTCCTTATAAAAACCTAATTTATTTTTCATGAAAATGAAAAAGTTTCAGAAAAACATGTATTCCTTACAGTGTATCTATTTACTTTCACGACATCATGCACATTTTACGACTTTCAAATCTGTATAGACGAAAACCTTGTAATTTGTATAGACTTTCGCCCTTACCGGAAGTTTTGGTTCAACCGGTGCACATGTAAACAAATCCCCGGTCTCGAATTTCACGATTTACAGGTTATTAATTAATTAAGGGCATGTTTTCTGTCATAAGATCAAGTTTGATAAGGTCTGGAAAGCAGTTTACACCTGTGTCATATATTGCTAGTCACTTTCACACAACTGTCATCACGCAATATCCGCCGGCAGAGAGAAAAAGCATGCCAAAAGTTGCAGTGGTGGGTAATTCGTCCTCACACACAATCGTACTTTTTAATTACGATGTTTTGAAATAGTTTATCATATGTTAAGAGTTGTTCAGTGATAAATATTTTTTCAACATTAAATGGAGTTCTTAAAATTTCATTTGAAATTTGCAGACGATTCATTTTATCTATACATGTATCAATATCATTTATTTCTGGTTGGGTTTTACATCGCACCAACATACAACAGATACAATGTGTAGTATAGGTTATATGGTGACTTCCCAGCAAAGACCTCAGTCTGTAGCATTCTTAGATAGTGTTTTATCAGATGTTGCTATTTATATGAAAAAGGCAAAGCCTCAAAGGGAGTTCGATTTACGTTTAATAGTAACGTTAATTTTCATTTTTCATTTTACATTTTCCATTTTAAAATTGTCATTTGGTATTTTAAATACTGTTTCCGTTTATTCTGGTTTGCTGTCCTATTATGGTTCCCATAAAAGTGTGCAGGACACCAGTCTACGCTTCCATTTTCAATCAGAATTCCTCAGCTTTTATCGTTATCTTGTAATTCGAAAAGTTGCGATGTGTCAATTCAGTACTTCGGACAAAAGTTTTCAAAACCATCACTCGCGGTACCATAGGTTGCTATGCGAGCAGGCCCATTCCGGCCAGCTCTTTTATCTCCCTATTAATTTGGTGATCCCTTTTATAGGGGCAGCTTAAGCTAAATTAAAAAAGAAAAACCTTTAAACATCCTCTTCTACTAAACTTCTTGATATATTTAGATGATCACCAAACTTTGTCTGTAGCATTCTTAGGTAGCCTTTTATCAAATTTGCTCATATGAATTTGATTAGCCGTTTTCAGGGGCCTCTTAAGAGCAAAAATAAAAAAAAAACACTTTTAACACCATTTTCTACTGAACTAATTGATGGATGATCACCAAACTTTGTAGCATTCTTAGGTAGTCTTATAAAAAGGCTACTGTATGAAAAGGAAACGTGTGACTTGACATACTTTACTTGCCAGATGTACAGTACTACAGTAACAATGAATTTGGGCCATTTTTTATTATGAAGAAAAGTAAACAATCAGTTTTTAGAAACTATATAACTAGAGGGGCAAGTTAAAGTTGAGTTGGATTTGCACTTCTGTAGTTTCTGGTGAACAATTCAGGGCCGTTATGGCCCTCTTATTTTAAAAACTACTTTTCATATTATTAAACATGTTAAACTTTAACTTAGTATTATGCTATATTTTTCTGCATCTCATTGACAAGATAAAAATAAGTTAATATGTTTTAAAGTATCTGTAAGTATTGAAACCTAATCTGCTTCATTTTATATGAAGTTAATGATGATGTTGATGATGATTATGGTGGTGAATATCACATACATTATACAAATTTAGCATTTTCAACCACTTATTTTTTATTAAACTGTTTGAAAAAAATGACATTGTCAATTAAAAAGTGTGAAAGTCATCCCCCTAGACTTAATACTGTGCGATTCTCCTATGATCCTATGATTTTATAACATCAAATTAATTACATACATTTCAGGTGTTGTCAGGTTGTGGTGTTTATGATGGCAGTGAAGTGCATGAATCTTCAGCGTTTGTATACATTTCTATAATAATGAACATTTTAGAACAAAATCTACCTTGATTATATATTTGTATGTAAGAAAAAGTAAAATAAAATAGTAAAACCTTCTAATTTAAGATAAGTTGTAAGTATTATATTGCAGCATAATGTTGGATCAAGTATCAAATAATTTGATTTCTAGATAATGGCAGATGTCGCTAACTGGTTTAAATATCTGCCTTGCAGCCAAGGAATTGTGGGTTTGTTTGAGCTCTTCTGGAGTCATAACTATGTTTCCACAACACCAGTACTGCTATTGTTGTCAACAGTTCTACTATGGTTTTATTACATTAAAGATCCTGTAACTCATTTTTTTTTGATTTTATAATAGAATTAAAATGCTCAAATGAAGATTTATCAATTTTGTAAGTTCCAAAAAGCATTATTTGTAAAGATATTACTAAATTTACATTTTATGCTGATAAAGGGAGGTAATTAGAAATTTATTTTCTGTAAAGTCTAAGTCAAATTTTTCAATAAGAAATGAATGCATATATTTTAATGATTTTGTATAATGTGGACAAAAATTTGCAATACATATGTTACATATTCTTTGATGTTTCAAAATTGTCTTAGAAGCATAATTACATTATGTATATACATCTATGAAATTGCACTTAAGTGTGGTAACAACCTTAATTACAACATACAGGATCATAAAAAACAAGCATAAATAAATGTGTTTAATTGTGCAGATTGATTTTTTACTTAAAATAAAAATGCACTTATGTTTTAAAGGGACTCCACTGAGGTTTAAAGGCCTAAAAACATAACATTTGAATTTCTTACATGAGCTGGGGCACTTTAAACAGAAATATATGCAAAGATAGTTAAGAAATATACTTTGAAATATATTGAAAATCGTATTTTTATGCTTTTCTCAGCCCGATTTGAGTGAAAAGCATTTAAACGCTTTTCATTTTGGGTCAATTTTTTACAATTTGAATAATTACTCTGGAAAAACGAAGTGTGCGAATGATTTGAAATTTTGCACAAAGATTAGTAATCTAAACCTACATCAAATAGTACATTTATCTGGAAAAATATTTTCAGTCCCATCATGTCAAAAAACCTCAGTGGAGTCCCTTTATATTGATATCTTATTCTTTTCTTGTTGTTTTCACCATGTTTGACTGATAAAAGGTAAAATGTTATTCATTATTTTAGAGTTCTGGTGCATCTGAGCAGAGCCGGTGCAGAGATATCAATGTTTGCACCAGATATAGAGCAGATGCATGCTATTAACCATACTAAAGGGGAGCCAATGGAAACAAACAGGTATTTGTTTACAGTTTTCTAACTCACTTCTATTAATATCAGGGCCGGCAAAATCAGTTGTCTGTATTGCCCAGGTAGTCCCACAGCCTGTATGGGCAAGTGAAGATTTTTCAAGAATTAACTATGTAAATAAATTTATCATACAGAAAGTTAAAAAATGCTTCACATAAAAATCGGACAAGTAAGTTAAAAATCAGATTTTGTCGGCCCTGCTTTTATTGGCTTAACTTAAACCATACCATATATTTGTCATGGGACATATCCTGCTGTAATTTGGAAACTGTCATTAAAATGAGTATGATGGATTTTGATGTGAAACTAATATGACTGAGTTGCCCACAGAATTTGATGTCAGTTTGTTGGTTTTCAGTATTAAAGTAATAAAATTGAAAATGAGATAGAATTGAATCTGGTCTTATGACGTGACGGGCAGGCATGCATACTGACATGGCTCTATACTTGTTGCAATAGGAAATAATCATTTAACATCAACAAGCTATGTTTCGTGACTATAGTAATGAAGAAATTTTGAATGTTTAGGAATTCACTAAGACTATGAATGAACAGAACCATGTTTTCAGAGGCAAGAAAAGATTAGAAACTAGAGCAGCTAGATTTGAAAACAACCTTTGATATGCAATACAGTTAGTTTAATGAACTGTGTAATGTGGATATTTATGCGTCATAAAAAAGTTTGCGAAATATCAAAAAGGAGTCTTTGCATGCTGAAATATTTGCGAAAAAATAATTTCTTGAATTAAATATGTTTTTTCTGATATTATTGGATAAAGCAGGTATATGTTTAAGAAATATGACATTATTTAATCATTGTATTCAGTTGTTTCAGCTAACTTTATTAATTTATAATAATTGTTGAAATACACATTGTTTTGTTTGAATAAAGGACCTGATGATCGACGGGATCACAACATTTCTAAATTTGTCATATTTTGAAACAATTTTTTGTTATAGATAACTTTAGTGTTTTAACACATAAATTGTATTGTTTTTATTAAAAACAATTTGTGATTTGTTAAAACCAAACTTAAACAAACAAGCAATGAGAAATATTAATCCCAGTACCTGAACTGTCAAAGTTATTTATGTAAGATGCTGTATGTAGACGGGTTTTCATGTGATAGAAGAAAGTTTGCCTAACAGAAATAATTTTTGTGTGATCATATATTTGCCAAAAATCGCAAATATTTCCATGTCGCAAAGTTTTCCACTTATACAGTAATGTAACAAGCTTTGCAAATAGTTTTATTATGATTACTACAAACTTTTGTCTGTTTAACCCTTACTTTTACTGAAATTATTTTAAATTGAACTCGTGCAAATTTTTTCAAATTCTTATTCAAATTTTGAGTCAAAAAAAACGCACCAAGCAGTTTAAAAAAGGTTAGCGTTTCAGCGTTTTACTTTGTAATTATTGCTATTAATCTTTTATAGGAAATGTATTGGTGGAGTCAGCAAGAATAGCTAGAGGGCAAAATCAGTGCCCTGTCTAACTTGACATCTCGTGATTTTGATGCTGTTATATTCCCAGGCGGATTTGGACTGCAAAAATCTGTAAGTCTTTTTTTAAAAAGGGCAATGCAATAGAGAACCTTTTGTATATGCCAGCCTTGCTTGATTAATTTGGTTTTACAATTTCAACATTGTAATTAGTGATTTTACTCTTTTTAAGAAACACCTCTCAAAGTGGACCTATTTTTATATTGGCTGTTCAGGAACTAAATACATGTAGCTGTTTATGGAACTTGGTGTTCTGCCTGTTGTGTTGAAAAAATGTACTGGGGGGCATCTGAGGTTTTCCTCCCCCATTAAAAGCTGAAATCACCTGATTTTATTCTGTTGGTGCATGTAAAACCAATATAGAATATTATATAAAAAACCAAATAGATTAAAAAAATTTTTAAAATCTTAAAAATCTTTAGGATTCAATTAAGAAAAAAACAATTAAGGTTTGAAGTGTCTATAAAAATTATTTTTGCAAATTTTATTGTTTTACAAATTTGTAAAATTTTGCATGGAGGGAGCAATATGAAGGGTTTAAAAGTTTATTTTTAGATTCAGACATTTAAAAAAAAGTGTGTGTATTGCTTTTGTAATTTACTGGATAATTTGACTAATTTCCTGTGTGTAATCATCAAATCTTGCATGTTTCTTTCATTCAGAACTCTATTTCACTATGGTCCAGTCAACATTTGTGCCAAGTTTGATGAATATTGAAACATCTTTTATAGTTTCACAGGAATCTGAACTTGTAACAGGAGGCTCTTCAATGAAAACAGCCATTTTTCACAAAATGCTCATGCAGAAATGGGTTTAATTTAAAGCACCCTTGAATAACAATTCTTTAAATATATTGAAGCCAAAAATACTTTTGTTTTTTATTCGATCTCTTATATAGCTTCAAAATGCTACAGACTTTGACATATTTTCTTATTAAAATTTTAAAAAGAATTTGTATTTGTCTTTGGTTTTGTTTTTAAAAATTTGGTCAATAACTCTTGCATACCTACTCATTGCCAGAATGATTAACACGTTAATAAAGTGTTATTTATTACTAATTTTCTATAGATTTCCATGATATTGATTTTGTTGTACAAAGGTTGTGCTGTATAGCTCCAGTTTTGGCAGCTAAATGTTCTAAGGGATGTGAAAGTTACCGTTGGCAGTGGATAAGGAAGAAGGTGGTTAGGGTGGCCTTAACGCTGGAACTGCTGGGGGCATTTCAAGGCTATGGGGTCCTCGCCATGTGTGCAAAAAGGGTGTATCCCGTATCCTTTAAATTTAAAAATGTATTACATTTAAATTCACTGAGGGGAAAATTTTTACAGAAGGTCCGATTTTTTGGGGGTATTTCAAAATATTCAGGTATTTTTTTCATTGAAAAAGAACTAAAATAATAGCTTTTTTTGCATAAACTTTTTTAAATTTTCCCCAACATATTTCAAAAATTAAAAAATTTTGAAAAAGTAAATTTTTTTTACAGTTACAATAAGGGAATATAATATTGTATAAAGTTTTTTTTTAAATAAGTGATGAACCCTTAACACAAATCTGAAACCCCCGGAATACAAAAAACCCAAATTTTAATTTTATATATAAAGGGTTACCCAAAAATTATTTAAAAAATTTTTTAAACTTTTCAAAAAATTTAATTTTTCCTTTTAAGTTACCCTTTAGGAGGCTTATAAACGATTAAAGACAAGAATGCGTTACCTGCATGGGCCGCCTGCTTTTATGGTGCGAAACTAAATTCCCAACGAAATATTTTGAGGGAATCGGAAAAAATGATTGATGGAAATTATCAACTTTTTAATAAGAAAAATGTGGACATCTCCATTGACCTGCGACATTGTTTGATTAAGAAATAATATATCCCAAACTGTGATTTTATTGCTCAATAAACATCACTGTTTGGAAGTTCGGATGCCCGGGGAATTATATCACGAGGGCGTAGCCCGAGTGAATATAATGATGCGCATCCGAACGACAAACAGTGATGTTATCAAGCAATAAAATCACCGATTTGGATATAATTATTTCGATTCTAACCAGCGACAAAACAAATAAAATGCTGCCGTACATGATAGTTAGCTAAATGGCGCCTGATTTTTGTTTCCGTCTTTTTGTAGCGCGTCACATTTTTAGTGGTTACGTCACGTATATAATGATTACGTCACATGTCTAAATATAGAACGTCAAACAGTGATTTTATAGCATAATAACACACACTTTCGGTTCTTCTATGTTCAATAGGAAAAAATGCGGGTCGTGTTAGAATATGTGATATTAAATTGTTGTCCTTATGAGGTTGTTTGATGACTAACTTATATGTATGAAGTGTAATATTTTGATTATTAACCATTTCAAGGCTTGTAACAATAATAGCCAGGTCATAAACCCTGCAATCTGGCTACTAAAGAGACTAATGGTTCTTTAACTTGTAGAGGTGTAAAACACCATAACAATATGGGCCTCGGCTTTTTAAAGTCACATCCAAAATTCTGTTAAGTACATTTTGGTGCATTCACAGTGATTGAATATGCCTTCCCTGGACAAAAGATTCATTTTGACATATTTAAATATGACCTTGACAGACTAAGTTAAAAATTCTGGAAATTTTACCATATCGTGTACATGTAATTTATTTATAGATTTAGATTGGGAGTGTTTGTGTTTATTGAACACATCTTTGTCTAATGTTTATGTTTAGTGTTAAAACAGGCATTGTTTTGAATGCACATTTAACCTGTTCATCTATATAAATTATTTTTCAGTATTAATATTATGAAGATATAGAATGGATTTTATTTTGATTTTTTTATTATGACATAGATTTCAATGGAAATAATGCAAGGATCATGCCAATTATTTTTTTTTTAATAATAAGTTTATGAATTAATCAAAATGGCTATTATATATTTTCATTATATAAAAATATAAGTTTATTTATAAATTGTCAGCTTTCTTGCATGCCAGAAAAATTATCAGAAATTTTAATCTTATCACTGTTCTTTTCAACTGTTTATGCTTTATTTATGTAAATGAATGTCAGGACAAATATGATAAAAGATCGGATGATGGACTGCTTTTATCTGAAATTTATATTTGTTTGTATCAAACATTTGTAAATCACTTTATTGTTAGATCTGACATGATTAATATTGCACATATTAATACCTGATATTTTTCATTTAATTCAAGAGCAGTCAGTGATCATTTTTTATGCATTATGAGCTTGTATGTGCTTCTTATTTTACATGAAATTTAATATCAGCTTCATTACTAATTTCAATCTGATCTTACAGAAAATTGAAAATAAACATTGACTTCTTAAACTAATTGATGTTTTACTTATTAGAATATATTGTACAGATTTTAAATATATCCCATAGAATTGAAATATCTTCCATGGATTGAAATATTTCCCATGTATAGAAGTATTTTTTCATTTATTGAAATATTGTCCCAAATGTATTAAAAAATCTTCAATGTTTGGATATATATCTTCCATGGAGTGAAATAGCTTCACTGTATTGAAGCATATATAATACATGTATTATACAAATATGGACTTTTTAGCTGTTGAATATGATGTGATATGTACTCAAAAAATTAATATTAATTTTTCAGTACATATCACATCATATTCAACAGCTAAAAAGTACATATTTGTTTTATTATATAATCTATAAATAGCTTTTATATGGCTTATCACATCTTCCTTTGCATATGACGGAAATAATTATTTTTCAGCTTGTCTACTGTTTCCATAATTTGGCCCTTTCCATTGGCTGGCTAATCCCTGTTCTTCTTAAAAATGAAAAACTGTAACTAAAATAGACTAATTTGACTCTTAAGGACACCCAAGTCAACGTTTCTTCAGAATAATAACAACAAACTTGGCGTGACGTCACGTCAAAGTCACACGTCTTTAAGGGATTTCCAGAAAATCTAATTTTAGAAGAAAAACCGGTGAATATACTCTGATAAATAAAAAACAGTGAATATACTCTGACAGTGAATATATTGACCTGTTATTTTTTACAAAAAGTTGCTTGTTAGCCAATCAGGGAAAAGCATTTCAAAGCTATTTATAGATTACATGTATATAATAAATTGAAATATCTTCTATGGATTGAAATATATTCAATGTATTGAAGTATCTTTAATGCATTGAAATATCTTCTATGTATCTAACTATTTAATATGTTGAAATATCTTTCCTGTATTGAAATATATTCCCAGTATTGAAATATCTTCCCAGTATTTAAATATCTTCCCTGTATTTAAATATCTTCCCTGTATTGATATATCTTCCATGTATTGATATATCTTCCATGTATTGAAAAATCTTCCATGAATTGAAATATCTTCCATGTATTGATAAAACTACCATGTATTGAAATATCTTTCCTGTAGTTATATATCTTCCCTGTATTGATATATTTTCCATGTATTGAAAAATCTTCCATGAATTGAAATATCTTCCATGTATTGATATAGCTTCCGTGTATTGAAATATCTTTCCTGTATTTATATATCTTCCCTGTATTGATATATCTTCAATGTATTGATAAATCTTCCATGTATTGAAATATCTTCCCGGTATTGATATATCTTCCATGTATTGATATATCTTCCATGTATTGAAAATCTTCCCTGTATTTAAATATCTTCCCTGTATTGATACAGATTCCATGTATTGATATATCTTCCATGTATTGATATAGTTTCCATGTATTGAAAAATCGTCCCTGTAATTAAATATCTTCCCTGTATTGATATATCTTCCATGTATTGATATATCTTCCATGTATTAAAAAATCTTCCCTGTATTTAAATAACTTCCCTGTATTGATATATCTTCCATGTATTGATATATCTTCCATGTATTGAAAAATCTTCCCTGTTTTTAAATATCTTCCCTGTATTGCTATATCTTCCATGTATTGCTATAGCTTTCATTTATTGAAAAATCTTCCCTGTATTGATATATCTTCCATGTATTGATATATCTTCCATGTATTGAAAAATCTTCCCTGTATTTAAATATC